ATTAATGTTTCACTGAAGAAATACAATCAATTCCTTACTGTTTAAAGTTAGAAGGGCTCTTTGAAAACATGTAACCCAGTGTTCCTCAAACTAGGTCAACAGTTCTATCTCCCATCAGGGGAGATTTCTTTGTTTTCTGTAAGATTTCTCAAAGCTTTGTATGTGCTACTGCACACTGTGAATCTCCAAGACTGAGACATGGTATTGAGGGCCAGTCTGACCACTGGCTCCTTTGCATGAAATCCCTTCATATCTCAAGGGCCACTACTGATGACAAGAAGCTTCTGGGCAAACACTGATGTATCATCATGGACATTACATGGAAGAGCAAGAAACTAATGTCCACCACCGTCAAGTGATTTGCCCTGTGAGCTCAATAACTGCAGAGCTGGCCCAGAATGCAGGCCTGTCTATGCAGCTATCCACAGAGAACCTGTGGGCCGAAGATGTGTGCACTGGGCATGGGACCCAGGTGGCCTGGAGAAGAGCTATGATGGAAATAGAATGTACAAGAAAAGACAACAAAAGTCAGTTACCTGGGAATATAGCTTCCTCCTCATTTTTTGCTCAACCTAACCTTTCTTTTCTTTTCTTTTTTTTTTTTTTTTTTTTTTTGCCGGGTGGAGACGGAGTCTTGCTCTGTCACCCAGGCTGGAGCGTAGTGGCGTGATCTCGGCTCACTGCAACCTCCGCCTCCCAGGTTCAAGCAATTCTCCTGCCTCAGTCTCCTGAGTAGCTGGGACTACAGGCATGTGCGACCACGCCCGACTGATTCTTTTATTTTTAGTAGAGACGTGGTTTCACCATGTTGGCCAGGATGGTACCAATCTCTTGACCTCGTGATCTGCCTGCCTCAGCCTCCCAAAGTGCTGGGATTGCAGGTGTAAGCCACCGCGCCTGGCCCAACCTAACATTTATTAAAGACCTACAGTTTCAGAAAAGACCCTACGTTGGATGTTATAGAGGAGACTACAACACTGTGCAAAAGACTTGGTCCTGCTCTAAGGACCTCAGATTCTCATTGAAAAAACATGCATGAGGTTGAAATGTTAGCAACAAGTCTATGTTCATACCATTTGTTGTGTTCTAAGCAGTTTCACATACAGTTTACAAAACTCCTACATTGGGCAAATATGGTTTCTCCCTTTTTATTTTATTTATTGATTTATTTGGAGACAGGGTCTTGCTCTGTTGCCCAGGCTAAAGTGCAGTGGCTCAATCTCAGCTCACTGCAACCTCCACCTCCCAGGTTCAAGCGATTCTCCTGCCTCAGCCTCTGGAGTAGCTGGGATTACAGGTGTGCGCCACCACTCCCAGCTAATTTTTGTATTTTTAGTAGTGGCAGGGTTTCACCACGTTGGCCAGGATTTTCCCTTTTTATAGATGGGAAAATGATCAGGGAGACTGTGATGTAGTTGAAGGGCAAGAAACATAGCAAGTGGACCCCATATATACCACGAGTAGTTTATGAAAAGCATTGGGTTTTTTAAAAAATGACATCTGCAAAGGTCTATGGGGTTTTACACTGTATACAATAAATTGCCTGACTAACCAAGGTTATTTCTACTACCAAGATAGATCAATGTTTAAAAAATGTTTCTAAGAAAAACCATTTGTAATGAAGCAGGGCACGGCAGGGCAATGGAGAAAGCAAGAGTTGATATGAATGGCATCATATACATGTCATGTTTACCAAAGATTTTTTAGCTACAAAAACAAACGTACACTGTAAAAAAATTTTGATTATAGAGAAACACAAAATGAAGAAAAGTTATGTGCACTCCCACTAACCAAAGAAAAGCAGTGTTCAGCAAACTCTTATTCTCCAAATTTCTAAAGCCATGCACACCGTAAAACCTCATCACTTACATTCAGCTTTTGAACATTCTTCAGTTCCAAATATCTAAGTGGTAACAACACCTTTTCCTTTTTCAGTCTACAACATATTATAGCAGACAATAAAACAGATGATGGAAGCATTCATCTTTGAAGTTTCTTGATTATATTTTGGATATGAAGTAGGGATGAGTGGGGGCTGGGAGTGTCATTATGGATCTATTAGCATTCTACCAACAGAAATACTTGATCCTGCCTACGGCAAGGGCTCCAGTGCTGTGCACGGAGGCTTTGATCTTGCGTCCCACTCCAGCATATGGTGTTACTAAGCATAATCAAAGTGCAAATCTTCATAGAAAATTACAGAGACTGAAAAGGGTATGGATGCTTCCTTCCTCTCATTTCCTTTCCTGCCATGTTCCTGACTTTAAGTCAAAGAAGACTTGGCCTTTTGATGAAATCTGCAAACACTTTTAGGGTATTTACACTGTATAGAGGCAATTATTTAACTGTCCAAGACTATTTTCATTACTGAGATTGACAGAATATTTCTTGCCAGGATAAAGCCACAGTTGTCGGCGGCATGGGTCTAAAACTGCCACCCTTATCTTGGCCCTATACAGCGACATTAGACTCAGGAGACATCTGCAGCTCTGGGGGCAGGGAGGAATGACCCATGCACCATCCAGGCTTGGATAATAAATATTCGGGAATTTACAGGATGAGTTGCTAGTCTTTTAAGGTGACACTCTTCAAAAGAGATAGAGGTACCCTCCTACAAACGGTTTTAAGCCATTAATTATAACAATTTAGATCATGTTGTGAAAAAATAGAACTTTTAAAGAAGTAAATTCCCTTTGAGTATATCTGTCAGCTCACTGAAGACAATGGGAGGCCATTTCTGATTTATAAATTGAAAATAAAATTTGCGTTTTTGTCAAAGTTAATAATCTTCACCCTCTCGTCAATGTGCTATTGTTGAGTCTGAATGACTGTGATGAACTTGGGCTCAGAGAAGATGGCCCCAGGCAAGTCTGCAATTTGGAAGCATTTGGACCCAAAAGCCTCTGTGTAGCTTCTCATGGTTACTGATTATTGTGCCCAAGCTTTATGCGAATTGTTTTAAATAACAACATTACCAAGAAAAAAAGGAGTGCTATCTAAAGCATCATTCCGAAAGTTGAATCGAGTACAGGTGAGTCCACCTGAAGCTGCTGGACACTGGGACAGCAGGGCTGGTTGTTCTTGGCTGCTGTCCTTCCTGAGCAGTCAGTGCCCAAACCTCACTGGCTGGTGCCCTTGCTGTACCAGTTGTTACATATTTTGAATATTGCACAGAACTGGCCCCACTGGTTGTACATATAGGCAGATAGCAGTGGGGAGCCTGCTGAGGCTCATCTGTTACGATCGTGGTCTGCACTCTCCCACTATAGTGGTGGATCATTCCAGAAGATAACTAACCTCTCTAGCTCTTAGCATCCTCTCCTCCAAACTGGGGAAGTGAGCAATCCTCACCTAATTCCTGCATGAGATTTAGATTGATATTAAAACCAGATATTAGATAGGAAAAGTTATTAAAATTTTAAAAATAATTTTGAAGAAATACATAGTATTTGTATATCATTTAGAAAATGCCAAAAAGTAGAATGAAAACATTCATTTTCTTACCACCTAAAGATAACTGTTAACATTTTTGTTTCTTTTGCTCATCTTTACTAAAACTTTGACAGTTCAACAATGGTTCCTGGCACCAAAAAAATGAAAGAAAACAAGGCCATCATGCTTCCAGTTTGGCAGGGATATAAATGGCTAAATAAATGTTACTAGTGTCGTGTGTAGAAGTCCAAATTAAAGAATAGTGGCACAGTTCTGGTTCCCAGCGAGGACAAATATTTTAGTGCTTAAGAATAAGAGATACGTTTATACCTAGAGTATTTCCTAAGGCTACTGACTCAATTTCATTTTAGGGGAAGACAACATTACATTACTGCTATAAAATTTCAGTTACATGTAAATAAACTCCATACTGTAACCATAAATAACATTTGGATCTGCCTTACTTCCTAAGTCATTATACTCAGTCCACATCTGCCTTGTCCCTTTAGGCTTGCCAGAAGTGCCTACACTTCTGTGTAGTTCTTGTAGATGCACAGTCTGTTTATACATGTTGGTTTCAAAAAATCAGGTTTCTTTGAACTGATGGATAAGGATTTTCCTCGGACATAAAAATCCAGAGTGTTGGAAGCAGTCACTTTGTAAATCGCCTGAGAAACATATAGTATTCGCTTTCCACAGACGTTTTTGTTTTTCCTTATTTTCCTCTCAAAAACTAATTGCTATTAGAGCATATTATGCTCATTGTATTAGCCTAGAATGCTATTATCCTTCTGGATTACTGTCTTTTGTACATTCATCTTCCCAGCCATGCTGAGCTCTGAAGGCATGGGCTTTGTTATACTCTTTTATCCTCTGCCTCCCAGCAAAGGAGATTCTGAAATGTCTCAGCCCTTAAAACTCTAGTTTGGTGGTTCCTAAGCTTGGGTCTTCACCAGGCAATACCTGGTGACATGCTAAATAAAATCTCTAGGCCCTATTCTGAAGGTTCCACATCCAATTTTCTGGGGGTGGGACTAGGATCCTATAGTTTTAAAGAGCTTCTTTGTAAAATGAAGACAATAATTGCTTCTACCTCACCAGGCAGTTATGGAAATAAATGAGTTATTTTATGTAGAGTGCTTAGATCATCGCCTGGCCTTCACTAAGCACTACGTAAATGCCAGTTTTTATTATATTGTTATTGTTGTTACATGATCAGCCAATCATAAATAGGTGTTTTGAAGTATTGTCTATTGGTTTTCTCAAACTTGAGTGTGCATAAAAATCACCTGGTAAACTTACAAACACAGATGCCATAGTTTTGTTGTCTAGAGATTCTGATTTAATAGGCTGGTACCTGGCCAGAGACCTGCATTCCTGTATTTCCCAGGAAATGGAGAATTGGTGGATATTCTGTAAACCAGTGAGTATCTCTTTGACATCCTTTATCCCCAAGGAAAAGAAACTTGTCTCTCAGGCTGGGGCTAAGATGCAGCTCATAGAAAGACAAATTTGGGGGGTATCTGATAATATGCCAAGGGATCAGTGGGGCCTCTCCTGTTTCCTACTTTGTCTGTGTCAGGGGCCATACAGCTGGCCTGGGGTTGGCTCCCTTGAGGGGAGGAAACAGCTACCATTCCTGCAGGCTGTCGGAGTAAGCTCCAGGATGCTACTCCAGGAGAACTGGGCTGGCTCCACCTCCCCTCCCCCTCCCCCATGGACATCAGGGCACTGCCTGACCAAATCCTGCCAACTCCAGGGGTTGCTGAAGACATGCCTGGAATCCTTCATACCTCTGTAGCTTAAGTTCAAGGGAACCACAGGTTGCTTGGGAAGACAGGTATACAACCGTGGCAAGCCCAAGAAGATTCCATGCCTGGGCAAGATTCCTGAGAGCCCTTACACCACACGTTTGTGTCATGGAACCAGCCCACACGTATTTGTGCTTCTGACTTCTAAAACTACCCTGCAGTGCACTTGAGATTTAAAGTGCAAGCTTTCCAAAAGTGAAATTACAAAGCTCTTGTCTTCTCTCATGAATGGCATTCCTTCCTGGATTTCCAGTTGTGATTATGCAAATTATACACTTAAGTACAATCAATACTTGAATCTCCTGGAACCTGATCAAGCCTGGATCCACCCATTAACAAAAACATTACATAGTTAAGACACATTCATTTACCCAGAGACAACTGTCCTTGCTTTTACAAAAAGCATTGCTTTTTATAGAAAATTAAGCATAGCCTATGTTATAATAAAGTAGAACTTACATTTCTAAAAACTGCTTTCTGGCCAGGCGTGGTGGCTCACACCTGTAATCCCAGCACTTTTGGAGGTCAAGGCGGTCAGATCACGAGGTCAGGAGTTCAAGGCCAGCCTGGCCAACATGCTGAAATGTTGTCTCTACTAAAAATACAAAAATTAGCTGGGTGTGGTAGCACACTCCTGTAATCCCAGCTACTCAGGAGGCTGAGGCAGGAGAATTGCTTGAACCCAGAAGGTGGAGGTGGCAGTGAGCTGAGACCATGCAATTGAACTCCAGCCTGGGCAAAAGAATGAGACTCTGTCCCAAAAAAAAAAAAAAAAAAAAACCAATGAAACAAACAAAAACCCCCCAAAAACGCTTTCTTTCAAACTCCTGATTTTTTTCTCCTTGTACTTTCTAAAATCAAAGTACATTTACTTTCTCCCCTCCAAAAATTGCTACACATAGACAGGGCTGTCTTCAAAATTTGAGAAGCCCAGGGTTAGAGTGTGAAAGGTCACTCACTGGCCCACGGCTGCCCTTCCCAGCTCTGGCTCCTGAATTATGAGGGGTCTCCTGGGGGCCTCCCAGTGGAAACTCCAGCCCACATCTCCTGATTCCTTTTGCATAGCTATCCCCTTGCTCTTCCCTTGGCCCTAGGAGCATATACATTTGTGGCATGATTGGTCACTGGGAAGACAGATGTGAAGGCAGCCTATATATACTGAGGCAGTTACACAGGAATTCCAGGGTCTAGAGAACCCTGAGCAGGAGATGGGTAAGAGTGTGCACATCTCCTTTGAGGCCTGAAATCCTGTTCTTATTTGGAGGGGCACGGCCAGAGGAGGACTGGAACACAGCCCTCTAAAGCACAAGGTCCAGAGACAGGGCCCATATTGGCCTGGTAGAGGGAGGTACATACACAGTATCTACAGGATGCCTATGTGTGTGGTACAGCTGAATGCCTCAGTCTGGATGCTCTATCCACGTATGTCACTTATTACTGTCACAGATTTCAAGGACCTAGACGGCAAGAACTAGGAAGACAACATTTTCTTTGTATAGTACCTACTTCATTTAGGCAGAGATTCCTCTTGAGGTTGCAGTGCAAGTACGATTACATCAGCTGCCTGCTGAAATCCTTAAAGGGGAATAAAGGAATATTTATTTCAAGTCACTGTATAAGGTAGGGTGTATGATACTGTTAAATAATATGTTAATAAAGCTCACCCTAAATATGCAGACAGAAGATGTAGAGGTTCCTAAATCCCTCTCTTGCATATGTTGCCAGGCTTCTCCTCCTTGAGTGCCTGCTCACCTTCCTCTGTCTAGGTAACACCACTCACCCCTCAAACTCAGTACAGGTTTCCCCTCTTCTAGATGCCTTTCTCACGCTCTCAGGCCAGGCGCTGCACCTTGGGACTATCATGGCTCCACCCCTCAGTACTGATCTCCCAATACTATCATCGCATTTTGACTCATCTCCCTGAAAGCCAAGGTTCCTGCTCACGCACGAAGTCACCACTGACTACCCTGCCAACAATCTCATCTTTCTCTAAATTGAGAACTTGTCTCTATCACTTGCCTATATTAATTGCTAAATGAAACAATTACTGTGAAACATGGAATTACTAAAAATCATTTGTCGCCCTGTGTGGTGGCTCGTACCTGTAATCCTAGCACTTTGGGAGGCCAAGGTGGGAGGATCGCTTGAGACCAGGAGTTCAAGACCAGACTAGCAACATGGCAAAACTCCCTCTCTATAAAAAAAATACAAAAATCAGCTGGGCATTGCCACAAGCACCTGTTAGTCCCAGCTACTTGGGAGGCTGAGGTGTGCAGATCACTTGAGCCCTGGAAGTCAAGGCTGCAGTGAGCAGAGATCAAGCCACTGCACTCCAGCCTGGGCAATAGAGGGAGATCCTGTCAAAAAAAAAAAAAAATACCATTTTCGTTTTGGCGGTGTTCTCTCTTACTGCCTTATATTATTATCTAGCCTTTCAATGCATTGCCCTTCCCACTAGATTGTCATTCTCTTAAGGTGAGGATCTGTATCGTTCCTTTAATTTTCCACATGTTGCAGAGTAGGTGCTCAAAACTTAGGTTTTCTCAACATCTTGGATGGGGGGGGAGGGTCCTTATTTTTAGCAAGATGGTTCCCATAAACAGTAATTAACAGGTCCTCTTTGTGTATTCTCATTCTCACCAGGGGCTGACCCCAAAGAGGCCACTGATTAAATGCTCCATCCCCTATAGATAATAAATAATAGTGTTTCCCCAACTGAGCCAGGCCTGAACATTTCTGGGCCTAAAGACTTTGAAGATCACTGCAAGTCCAAGCATGAAGCAGGAGGGCCTTGCAGGAAGCGGTTACCTTCGGGTCTGTGAAGGTTGTTATGTATGTGCATAGGAGCAGAGCCTACCCCAAGGGCTCTATTACTGGAGGAGAGTTAATGGAACTGAATCACCTAAATGTGGCAGAGACACTTTCACGGTGGCAGAACCAGTTCTGTGATATCTTCAAGTTCTAGCCCACAGCAGGATGAAGTAAATACTCCCTTGAGACACCTAAAAGGGGGTGGTGCCTCTCCTCAGCTACTAGTACAGCGACGTCAAAAACCCAAGCAGAAGCCGTCAGACTGGGTTCAGCTACCCTTCTAATCTTACGGCCTTCTGCAGGCAACCTTGTGCTCTCCAAACTTCCTGCAGAACGCTGGCGGCCTCCGTGCTGCCCAAACTTCCCACAGGGTGGCACCTGGATGGAACAAGTGACTTAAAAACGAGGAAGGCCAGGCGCGCTCCCACTGCTCAGAAGCGGCTGGTGTACTCGTCTAAAATAAAAAGGTCTCTGTGTGCAAATCCCGTTTGCTCGCCCGGTAATCCTCCCCCGCCCCCAGCCTAGCGCGTCCGACCCGTACAGCTGTTTTTAATCCCTACTTTTCTCACTTGGCATCCCGGGCTCGGGCTGACCAGACGTGGAGCCACTTAGCGTTTCCTCCTCCCCCTGCCGGGGTCTGTCCTCCCTCCGCCGTCTCCTCTTTCTCCGCCTGCGTCCCCGCGGGCAGAGTGTGGGAAGAACGAATTTCCGCCCGGTTTGCTCTTGCTCGCAGACTCGGGTCCCTTCCGCACGCAGCCCGCGTGCTCCCCGAGCTGTTGCACCGGGGCCGCGCTCCCCATCCGGGACCGCGAGCGAGGAGGTGCTAGCTGCGGGGGCCGAGCCGCCGGGGCTCCGCTGCCAAGCCGCGCCCAGAGAAGCTCTTGGAAGGGCTCCCGCCTGCAGCAGGGGAATCCACTCGGCGGGGAGAATCCGCGCCAGGGAATCCAGCTCTCCGGACTCTGCTGCAAACAAAAAGCGCCGGTTCTTGCTCCCTCCCCTTGCCCCCCGACGCGCACCAAAAGAAACAGTTTTCTACAGAAATGCAACAAGTAGCACCCAGGGCCCGCAGAGCGCCTCGCGCCGCCTGACTTGGCCGGGCGAAGCCCGCCTGCAGAGCCGCCGGACAAAGGACGGAGGAGGGGCTGGACGGCGCTGCGAAGTCCCAAAGAGGCCATTTAGTGACTCTGGCCAGGCCAAGGGGAATGCAGAGGAGACACAGAGCCGGCGGGCCAAGAGGACGATCCGGCCGCAGCACGCAGGGCGGGCGGCGATGGAGGCTGCCCGCGCCGTGCGCTTCCTGCTCGTGGTGTGCGGCTGCTTAGCGCTCCCGCCGAGGGCCGAGCCCGTGTGCCCGGAGCGCTGCGACTGCCAGCACGCCCAGCACCTCCTGTGCACCAACAGGGGGCTCCGCGTCGTGCCCAAGACCAGCTCGCTGCCGAGCCCCCACGACGTGCTCACCTACAGCCTTGGCGGCAACTTCATAACCAACATCACGGCCTTCGACTTCCACCGTTTGGGGCAGCTCAGACGGCTGGACCTGCAGTACAACCAGATCCGCGCTCTGCACCCCAAGACTTTCGAGAAGCTCTCGCGGCTGGAAGAGCTGTACCTGGGGAACAACCTCTTGCAGGCACTCGCCCCAGGCACGCTGGCCCCGCTGCGCAAGCTGCGCATCCTCTACGCCAACGGGAACGAGATCGGCCGCCTAAGCCGCGGCTCCTTCGAGGGCCTGGAGAGTCTGGTCAAGCTGCGGCTGGACGGAAACGCCCTCGGGGCGCTGCCGGACGCAGTCTTCGCCCCCCTGAGCAACCTGCTCTACCTACATCTGGAGTCCAACCGGATCCGCTTTCTGGGCAAGAATGCCTTCGTGCAGCTAGGCAAGCTGCGCTTCCTCAACCTCTCTGCCAACGAGCTACAGCCCTCCCTGCGCCACGCGGCCACCTTCGCACCGCTGCGCTCCCTCTCCACCCTCATCCTCTCGGCCAACAGCCTGCAGCACCTCGGGCCGCGCGTCTTCCAGCACCTGCCACGCCTCGGCCTGCTCTCGCTCAGGGGCAACCAGCTCACGCACCTCGCGCCAGAGGCCTTTTGGGGGTTGGAGGCCCTGCGCGAGCTGCGCCTGGAAGGCAATCGGCTGAGCCAGCTGCCCACCGCGCTGCTGGAGCCTCTGCACAGCCTGGAGGCGCTGGACCTGAGCGGCAACGAGCTGTCGGCCCTGCACCCGGCCACCTTCGGTCACCTGGGCCGGCTGCGCGAGCTCAGCCTGCGCAACAACGCGCTCAGCGCCCTATCCGGGGACATCTTCGCCGCTAGCCCAGCCCTTTATCGGCTGGATCTAGACGGCAACGGCTGGACCTGCGACTGCCGGCTGCGAGGCCTGAAGCGCTGGATGGGTGACTGGCATTCGCAGGGCCGGCTCCTCACTGTCTTCGTGCAGTGTCGCCATCCCCCGGCCCTGCGAGGCAAATACCTGGATTACCTGGATGACCAGCAGCTGCAGAACGGGTCCTGCGCGGACCCCTCGCCCTCAGCCTACCTGACCGCCGACGGCAGGCGACGGCCCCTACCCACGGCCGTGGGGGAGGAGATGACGCCCCCTGCAGGTCTCGCGGAGGAGCTGCCGCCGCAGCCGCAGCTCCTGCAGCGGGGGCGATTTCCCCCTGGGGTGGCCTGGGATGGGGCTGCCAGGGAGCTCGTGGGCAACCGCAGCGCCGTGAGGCTGAGCCGACGGGGCCCGGGCCTCCAACAGCCCAGCCCCTCTGTCGCTGCCGCCGCAGGCCCGGCTCCACAGCGCCTAGACCTGCGCGAGAAGCCCCAGCGGGGCCGTCCCACCAGGACAGATCCCGCCCATGTGGAGCCCACCCCAACGGCCTCTCCCGGCTCTGCGCCGTCGCCCGCCGGCGACCCCTGGCAGCGTGCAACGAAGCAGCGCCTGGCCACGGAGCAGCAGGAGCGTGCCGCCCAGTCCGATGGCGGGGCCGGGCTGCCGCCGCTGGTGTCCGACCCGTGCGACTTCAACAAGTTCATCCTGTGCAACCTGACGGTGGAGGCGGTAGGCGCAGACAGCGCCTCGGTGCGCTGGGCCGTGCGCGAGCACCGCAGTCCCCGGCCGCTGGGCGGCGCGCGCTTCCGCCTGCTGTTCGACCGCTTTGGCCAGCAGCCCAAGTTCCACCGCTTTGTCTACCTGCCCGAGCGCAGCGACTCGGCCACGCTGCGCGAGCTGCGCGGGGACACCCCCTACCTGGTGTGCGTGGAGGGCGTGCTTGGGGGTCGCGTCTGCCCGGTGGCTCCCCGGGACCACTGCGCGGGGCTGGTTACCCTGCCGGAGGCCGGGAGCCGGGGCGGCGTCGACTACCAGCTGCTGACCTTGGCCCTGCTGACGGTCAACGCGCTGCTGGTGCTCCTGGCCTTGGCTGCCTGGGCGTCTCGCTGGCTGCGGAGGAAGCTGCGGGCCCGGCGGAAGGGCGGGGCCCCGGTCCACGTTCGCCACATGTACTCCACCCGACGGCCCCTGCGCTCCATGGGCACCGGCGTCTCCGCCGACTTCTCGGGATTCCAGTCGCACCGGCCGCGCACCACCGTGTGCGCGCTCAGCGAGGCAGACCTCATCGAGTTCCCCTGCGACCGCTTCATGGACAGTGCGGGCGGTGGCGCGGGCGGCAGCTTGAGACGGGAGGACCATCTCCTGCAGCGATTTGCTGACTAGGTCCAGGGCTTGTAGAGACCATCTCATTGGCACCAAGGAGCCGCCTCTCTGTGGGGCCCACCAGGCCACCTCAGAGGAAGTGCCCTTTTAAGCACTTGCCAGAGAGGCCAATGGGGACAGAGGGCCAATTCGGGCACCATCCCCCAATTCCCAATACTCAAGCAGTAAATGGATGGTACTTGGTGGTCAAGGCCAAGAGTAGGGGACAAATGGATGGTGATGCTGAGGTGGGAGGCAGCCTTCACTTGGAGGCTTTGACACAGCTATGCAAATGGCTTTTGTAGCATTGCAATGCAATAGCCTGGCTTCTTTGGGGGTAGAAAGGGGGTGCTTGTGCCCCCAACATGGCCAGAAAGATTTGGGTGCATGCTTTGTGTTTGCTCAGTATCAAACAGAGGAGTTTTGTTTCTATTTAAGGAAAAAGGAACTTATTATCATTACAAAGGAGGCTTGGCCTGGGACTCCACTGGTTTGGTGATCTCTGCCAAGAAGGGGGATGTAAACAGGTGGTAACTTTTAACACACCCGCCAAGGAACTCATTTATGTTGGCTGATAGAGCATTCAGGATACCGTAAAGTTTAATAAGAGACGCAATTTTTTTTTAAACAATGTGAAAAGCTCTGACATTTAACGAACTGACCAATAG